CGATCAGGGGGTTAAATGTGTCCTGGGTGTGTTCTAACTGTCAGTGTAGAGCTTTTTACTCACAATTTCTGTGTCTTCTCTGTCTGGAACGGAATGTGCCCAGGCAGAGAAGAATGACATCATATCCTGTCCTGTGTAACTGTCAACACAGGACAGGATAGGACAGGGACCGATCATCCGATTTCAGCCAGACATCACTGGCTGAAACCGAATGATTGACCCCTCAGGGATCGAATAGTGACACCCGCAGGTCGGCGGGGGCGCTTGCGCGCCCCCCCTGCCCGCGAAAACCTCGGGAGCGCGGGTCACGTTTTAAAACGTAGTTTTTTGCACAGCCGTGCCGCCCTGCCACCATTTTAATACAGTGGCTGGTCAGCAACACGTTAAGCCTGTTTGCCTCTATATGAGTCAGGTAGCAACCAGATTGCATCTTGCACAAAAAAAAAGGGTTACTTTTGCATCTGGACATAAATGTTTTTCTTCTTTAAAAAGTATGTATTACTCAATAAAACATTACCTTCACATAGGCAGAGATCACATCAGAGACTATGGAAGTCACTTTGACAAAATTCGTATGTGTAGAGTGAGTTCTGCTGCCATCGTCACGCTGGGACTCTTGGAGCGCTGCGGGGCTTTCAGCCTGGTGGATTCATGTATGATTATACACTGATGTGATCTCTGCTTATACTTTTTATTGACTATGAAAGTATTTTATGGTGCTTCACTATTGCAGGTCCCTTTTTGTGTTGATTAAGATCATCTATGGTCTGAGCAGTGGCGCTGTGGATTGGATTACTAAGAGATGTCAGACAATTACATTCATAGGGGGTCAGACATGGTGGTTGTGACGATCATGGCATCAGACCCCAGCCCTTCTCACCAAATCCGTAACCGAAGGACTAGCCAATTTAAAACCGCGCTGTCACGTGCGTAACAATGCCATGCCCAGGTGCACCCTGCACAAAGATTTTCTAGTTAATGGACCACAATCTGTGTACTTGCAGCCTGGGAGCGATTGTTACTGGTCAGGTTAATTACGCTATTAACTCTTCACACTGCCACCAACTCCTTTTTGTACAGAGAAAGAGGAAACTCGGCAATATCAGCAATAACACTATTATGTTGGCATAAGCGTCGGTATACCACTGCCACTGCAGGCAGAGATATACCGAAGTTTAAAAACACACACACAGTAGCGCTCTTCAGAGGCAGGGGTTCTTAGTTTGCATTAAAGAGCTTTAAAAACAGTTCAGCACTTTCAGAAAGTAAGATTTATTACTAAAAGTTCAAAAGGGTGCAATAAAAATATTTACAGAAAAGATGTTGCCAATACAAGAGCAATAACACAGCAAAAAAGATAACAGAAAGGAATTTAGATAGATGAAGTACTTGCCAAAAGCTTTCAAGTTTCCTGAGCCAAAAGGGTGCTTTATCTCCCAAAGTTGGTTCCGATGTTACAAGGGAGAATCTTCAACTTCAACTCAACTTAGCTTAGCTTCAAGCTTAACAGCCTTTATTCTAGGAACTCAGCAAGTTGATATCAGGGCAATAACTTTCCCTGGATACATATAACATTCTATCCACGAGTAGATTAATACGCAGAGTCATCTGCTGAACATCTAGGTATGAAATATGACATACCTGCTGGGATGGTTAAGGAGATATCATTTTCTGCTCTCCTGTAGCTGTCAGCTAGGGGTGTAACCTATCAGGCTTGTATTAAAGTGAGCAGTCTGAATATATGCTTGGTTTTTATGTAAGTCTCTCATATTCCAGGATATGTAATCATAGGGGAAAGTTGGTCTTGAATGTGATTTCTGCTTTATGGCTTATCTGGAATGTCTTTGAACTCAGTGAAGGACTTGATTTATGGCTTTACGATCCTTCTCCAGCAAGAGTCTCGCAGATATATGGGTGCCAGGCTAATTGGGGTTTATAGCTCATGAGCTCTCCCGCTGTGCCTTGATGCCTTTTTGAACTCTGCATCAAACAGACCACATAACACTCAACAGAGAGGGAGGGGGATGAGGAGGAAAGAAGGAGAGAGAGATACAAGATGGAGGGTTGGGAGTAAAATGGATGACCGCGTCTATCTCTGTGCGCACGATTGCTACAGTGGTGATCGCTCTTCTTTGGGGATTATCACTTAATGAGTGCTTTTATGCAATGTGATTATTCACACAACTGTGGAAGGAAGAATGTATTGTTTGAATTGTGGGTGCTTTTATGGACTATTTGTGATTTTGACATTTTTATGCATGTATTGAACGTTTATGGTTGCTTTGTACCGGGGGTGGACCAAGCAATAGGGGATCATGGGGCCCCTGTGTTCTTACCCAAACTCAAAAAAGCCTATGAAAAAGGTACCAGGGGCATCTCATGGGGTCCCCTACTGACCCTGGGACCTCGGGCACTGCCCGAGTTTCCAAATGGTCAGTGCGCCCCTGCTTTGTACATTTATGTGAGGGCATTTTTAGTTGAAATAAGTTGACTCTGTGCCTTTAGATTTGCCTTCTATTAAATGGATGAGATTCTATTTATCATATTTTTTATAATCTGTGTCTAAAAAATTAGATTCATGTAACATTTCTGGCTGAAATAGGCCTACTCTCTTCCTACAAATTTGCCTGCTATAAAAAAGGATGCAATTCTGTTCAACAAAACCACAATTTTTATAATGTGTGTCTAAAACAATGCTGGTTCGTGTAACATTTCTAGCTGAAATAGGCCTTCTGTCTACCTACAAATACGCTTTCTACTTATAAGTATAAGATTCTCTGCAACAAATATGTATTTTTTTCATTTCCAAATGCAATAGGCCTGCTCAATCTATAATATGTTTCCATTATCAGTCTCAGAAAAGAGGCACTAATTTTCTATTTCCAGATGCAATCTGCTTTCTCTAGTCTCAAAAATTGTAACCTATAAAAACTTATCTCTCAGATAAAGACATTATTGGTTTCTTCCAGTTACATCCCCACATGGAAGAAAAATATATTTGAAATATATTTTTTTTAAAAATATTCTTCCCATATATATTGACATATATTTGAAATGCTACAATTTTGGCCATATTCAATATATTTCAAAATATTTCAATAAATACATATAGCACACTGTATGTTGAAATGCATTTTATTACAAAATATATGAAAAATATTTTTAAAAATACATTTCAAATATACTGTATGTCTTTAAAAATACAAATCTACAATTTTGGAATGCATTTACAAATATATGTAAAAATATATGTTAAAATGACTTTTTTTTATGTTGCAAAAATCTGGTTTAATCCCAGCATCAATAACAACACCACAACTGCGTGCAATGCGCACACAGTTGCGGGGTGGTTGTAGTTCAACTCCATTCACCTGGAGGTATACTTTCAGCTGCAGCAACAGCATGTGTATACCCCCAGCTGCTGGTTCTGCAGCTAAAGGGGAAGCAGTTGGGGGTGGTAAAATCAGCTCAATTGCGTGGTTTTACCTCCCTCCAACCTCACAGGTGAACAGGCCCTTGGTTCACATCTGTGTGGCTGTGTGTAGGGCAGCCCATTCATTTCAATGGGCTGCCTTTCCCGTAGAAATGCAGGGAAAGTCGTCCCTGACCTTATTTTTAAAATTGCACCACACCAAACCCCCCCCCAGTGCTTGCCAATGTATTGGGTACCCCTAAAGAGCAGAGCATTTGTCTGCGTGTCAGGAATGAGTGAGATTTCGTGTGCATTCCGTGACACACAGTAACGCGAACCAAGCCTTGAACAGGGGTGCCTCGTGACTGAAAATACTTTTCAAGGGTGCCCCGACTGGAAAAAGGTTGAGAAACACTGGTCTATACAATATTTATGAACATATAAATAAGTTTGTGCAGCGCTAAAAAAAGGGGTTAACAAGTATAATGTCCGAGACGACAATATATCAGCTAATATATATCCCAATGAAAGGGAGTGCCATGAATAAAAATATATATTGATGAATAAAGAAATAAATAAATGTATGAAGATCAATGATCAAGTTCCAATCGGGTGACTGCGGTGAATCCTGATCCGGCAAAAGGTGCTAGAATGGTGTAAGAAATGCACACTCCAATGGAACTTTTTACTTGATCATTGATCTTCATACATTTATTTATTCATCAATATATATTTTATTCATTGTACTCCCTTTCATTGGGATATATATGAGCTGATATATTGTCATCTCGGACATTATACTTGTTAACCCTTTTTTAGCGCTGCACAAATTTATTTATATGTTCATAAATATTGTATAGACCAGTGTTTCTCAAACTTTTTCCAGTCGGGGCGCCCTTGACTTATATGTTTTATTTATATGTTCTTATTTATGGTGTTTTTGGTTACCCACTTACTGTATGTGCATAGTCGCTCGTTCATATTTACTCCAGGCGCTCACTTTTTCTTTCCATATACAATATTTATGGTTGCCATTTTTTAAATATCATACTGAAAATTTTGATTTATCTCCCCTTCTTTTGCTGCCCCAGTCCCTAAACAAACTGCATAAACACTCTTCAGCTACTGTGCCATATGTTTGGCTGTTGACTCTGATACTTGGCACTGTAATTTTTTTAATTCGGCATAACAACTGTCTCATCTTTGGAATGTGCAAAACAGAAAGATATAGAGGCTCCTTGACTTTAGACTGTAAATAGGTTTAATGTTAAAATCAGGGTTTGGAGCATACGCACAACACAGGAAGGCACACTCCTTTGTCAAGGCTTCTGACAGAGCAGAGCGGTGGCAGTGGCATCCACAGCAAGAGCACCTGACACCCATCCACACGGACTATGGACTAATAATGATGTGCCTGCTTTACTCCTACTATATGTGAGTGGATTTTAACCCTGATTTTATACATTAAACCTGTTTACAGTCTACACTCAGAGGCACCTCTATATCTTTCTATTTTGTATGTTCCTTGGAGATTGCTTCCTCTATCCATAAAGGGCTTGCTACGAAGTGTTGACTCTCCCTATTTCTCTGTCACAAGTTAGCCTGCAGTTTCTTGTTTGTGTTCTTACCTCCTTGCTGCAGTGCTGTTCCTAATCCCTTCACATGTGTGTTTGTCTTTGCTCACCTAAGAGCGTCGTCTGCTGTTCTCTTGGTTTTATTTCCTTCCCTTCCATCACTTCCTGGCCCGCCTCCTTGTTTGCCTGGCTATATAAGACATGCTTAGTCTAGGCCACTTTGCCTGAGCAACTTCCTAGTTGTCGGAGCTCCTGTGTGTTGCTACTACCTGTATCCTGCATTGACTACTTGTTTACCGACCCCGGCTTCGTTCTCTGACTGTGCTTGTTTTCCGCCTGTCCTGACCTTGGCTACTCTATCAGATTTCTGTTTGTCTCCTCCCATTGTACTCTGCTCCCGCGAGCGGTCTCCTCATCCTCAGCTGGGCGTACCTGGGGGCCACGACCTGGTGCCTGCAACTCCATTCCCACCATTAGGGGCTCTGGTGAAGAAGCAGGCTGGGGCTTAGACTCCGCTCCCTGGGGAACACCAAGTTGAGTATCTACAAGGGCTCTACACTACCACAGGTGCTGTCAGTTTGCCCAGGCCATGAGCTCTTCGGAGACACCGCAGCCTCTCCTGGAACAACTTCAGTGTTTGGCGCAGAGAGTTGATGTCCAGCAGGCCTATCAAGAACAAATTATGCACTGTCTGCAGAAACTCTCCTCCCAGCTGCAGGTTGTGTCCACTTCCTCACCCTTTGTTGCGGCTCCTGTCCCTGCTCCGGTTCTTGCTGCTCCAACTCCCACTGTTCCCCCAGTGGAACACAGTCCTTCAAGACTCCAGCTGACTCCACCGCCTCACTTCTCTGGTGATCCCAAAGCTTGTCCGGGCTTCATTAATCAGTGCTCTATTCATTTTGAACTAGCAGCCGATTATTTTACTACTGACCGTTCCAAGGTGGCATACATGATTTTCCTCCTTTCGGGTGAAGCAATGGCTTGGGCCTCGCCACTGTGGGAGTGTCAAGATCCCACTATTTCCAGTCTCCCAGCCTTCCAGCAAGCTTTCCGGAAAACCTTCAATGTGCCCGGCAGGACTTCTTCTGCTGCGAGAGCCTTTCTTCGACTTCGTCAAGGTAGCATGACGGTTGGTCAGTATGCAGTTCAATTTCGCACCTTAGCTTCGGAACTTGCATGAAGTAATGATTCCATTTCTGCAACCTTTCGGCAGGGTCTAGCGGACCATATTAAGGACAAACTAGCTGGAAGAACCATACCCACCACCCTAGATGACTTGATTGCTCTTAGCATCCAAATTGATGTCCGCTTCCAGGAGCGAGATCTGGAAAGGTCTGGTACACGTCGCCCCCAAATGGGTTCGTTAGCTCCTGTTTTCCAAAGCTCCCCTGAATGATCTACCTCTGCAATTGTACCGACATCCAAGGCACCTATGCAGTTAGGCCGAACACGCCTCACTCCACAAGAGCTATCGCGTCGCCTAAGACTTGGTCTATGCCTTTACTGTGGGGCTGAGGGTCATGTAATTAAGTCTCGTTCAGTCCATCTGGGAAACTCTCAGGTCTAGGTCACTCTGAAGGAGGTGATCTAGACCAGAGCCTGAACACCGCCACCTTCCCTCAAGTTGTTATACCTTTCTCCATCCATTACACTCTGAACTCATATCAGGTTTTGGCTTATGTGGACTCTGGGACAGCCGGAAATTTCATTGAACAATTATTGGCCACTGAATTGGGCATTCCTCTTGTCCCATTGATGACACCCCTGTCAGTATCTGAAGTTGATGGCTCTACCTTGGCCTTAGGACCTCTATGCTTTCAAACTAGCAGCATAACTATGCATGTGGACGTTCTTCATCGTGAGGAAATCTTCTTCCTGATCCTCCCTAAGTCCTCAAGTCCCAACATTCTTGGACTTCCATGGGTGCAGAAACACTCACCCTATCTTGACTGGAACCCTGGCCAAGTATTGTCATGGGGGTCACAATGCCATCGGACTTGTCTACCTAAAGTGCTTCCACCTCTGTGTGTACCCGGGGCTGAGGACACCACCTCTCCGATACTCCCTCCACATTTTCAGGCCTTCCAAGACGTCTTTTGTAAGAAAGCTGCTGACTTTTTGCCTCCTCACCGTCCCTATGATTGTGCTATTGACCTCCAACCTGGAACTTCTCAACCTCGAGGTAAAGTTTACCCTCTCTCCATTCCTGAGACTCAAGCCATGCCTGAGTACATCCAGGAGAATCTGCAGAAAGGATTTATCCGTAAGTCCAATTCTCCTGCTGGGGCTGGTTTCTTCTTTTTGGAGAAAAAAGATGGTACGCTCCGGCCCTGCATTGATTACAGATGTCTCAATGCTATCACCATTAAGAATCGGTACCCTTTACCTCTGATTTCTGAACTCTTTGACAGACTCCGGGATGCTCAAATTTTTACTAAGCTAGACCTCCGTGGAGCATACAATCTGGTTAGGATCTGTGAGGGTGATGAGTGGAAAACCGCTTTCAATACCAGAGACGGGCATTATGAATATCTTGTAATTCCCTTTGGCTTGTTTAATGCCCCAGCCGTCTTTCAGAACTTTTTTAATGAATTTTTTTCTGATCTCCTGTATGTTTGTGTCATTGTCTATCTGGATGACATACTAATTTTTTCTCCAGATTTAAAAACTCATCGTCAGCACGTATGTACTGTTCTTCTACGTCTTCAGGACCACTGCCTGAATGCAAAGTTGGAGAAGTGCCTCTTCAAACAAACCCAGGTTCCTTTTCTAGGCTACATAGTCACGGATAAAGGGCTGCTTATAATTCTGCCAAACTCCAAGCCATCTCCAACTGGTCTCAGCCCTCTGGCATCTGTTCATTCCTGACTATTTTTCACTGGTGGCCCCAATCACTTCTTTGACCCGGAAGGGTTCCAACACCAGAACCTGGCCTCCTGAGGCAGTCGACGCATTCCACAAACTAAAATCCACCTTCCTCTCTGTATCTATTCTCATACGGCCGGACATTTTCAGCCTTTTTTCTTGGAGGTAAATGCTTCATCTTTGGGATTGGGGGCCGTCCTTCTCCAAATGCATGATGGTAAGCAACGTCCTTGTGCCTTCCTCTCTAAAAAGTTTTCAGATCCCGGAAAGAATTACACCATTGGTGATCGGGAACTGCTGGCGATAAAACTGGCACTGCAGGAATGGTGACATCTGCTGGAGGGATCCCCACATTGCATCCTGATTTATACTGATCATAAGAACCTCCAGTATTTCAGTCTGCCCGGCGTTTGAACCCCAGACAAGCACAATGGGCCCTCTTCAGGCCCGGTACCAAAAATGCCCGTGCAGATGCCTTGTCCAGATCATTTGACATTGCTGACTCTGAGTGTCATGTTGAACCGGAGCCTATCATTTCTGCCAATCGTATCATGGCGTCCACTCATCTTCAGCCTACACGCATCCCACCCGGAAAGACCTTTGTGGTCCCTGCCCTTCGTTCCAAGCTACTTAAATGGGCACACAACTCTAAACTTTCTGGACATCCTGGGGTGCAACGCACCTGTGCCTTCCTGCGGCATCATTACTGGTGGCCCTCACTGCGGAAGGATGTTGAAGAATATGTTCAGCAGGTCTCCTTTTACCTCTACCTGTTCCAGATGAACCTTGGCATTGCATTTCTATAGACTTTATTTCTGAGCTACCCCCTTCAGCTGGTTCCACTGTTATCTGGGTGGTTGTGGACAGGTTTTCAAAAATGGGCCACCTAACTCCTCTTCCAGGACTACCTTCTGCCGTCACGTTGGCTTCCAACTTCATTAAGGAAAGCTTCCGTCTTCACGGTATTCCCTCACACATTATTTCTGATAGAGTTGTTTAATTTACAGCTCGCTTCTGGAGGGCTCTGGCCACATCCTTCGGAATCAAGTTGGACTTCTCCTCAGCCTTTCATCCGCAGTCTAATGGCCAAACCGAAACGGTCAGCTAGAACATGGAATGCTATGTTTGTGCCTTCATTTCAGCCCATCAGGATGATTGGGTAGACCTTCTACCCTGTGCTGAGTTTGCCCTTAATAACCATGCCAGTGCCAGTACTGGTGAGTCTCCCTTTTTCACTGTGTATGGTCATCATCCTTTAGTGCCATTTCCTGTTCCCATCTCCTCTGCGGTGCCCGCGGCTCCAAACAAACAACAATCATTCAATTCCATCTGGGCAGAGGTTTCCAAGAATTTACATCTGGCAGCTTCCAAGTACAAAATAGCTGCAGATCACCAGCGCCGCATGAGTCCCAAATTTCTCCCTGGTGACAAGGTTTGGCTCTCTACCAAGAATATCCATCTACAGGTACCCTCTATGAAATTTGCTCCTCGGTTCATTGGTCCCTTTACCATCCTTCACCAGGTCAATCCTGTTGCTTTTAAACTTCGCCTCCCTTCACATTTGAGAATCCCTAATGTTTTCCATGTTTCTTTTCTGAGACAGTACATCATCAACAGGTTTTCCCGTCCTCATCGTCATCCTTCCCCAAGAGCGAGTACTTCGGATCAGTATGAAGGGAAGCTCTTGTATCTAATTGACTGGAAGGGATATGGTCCTGAGGAGAGGTGTTGGATTCCTTCTACTGATGTTTCTGCACTCCGTCTGGTGGAATTTTTTCATCAGAAGTTTCCCCTTAAGCCTGGCCCTAAAAAAGTGGGGAGACCTCGTAAGGGGGGGGGGGGGTTACTGTCACAAGTTAGCCTGTAAGTTCTTGTTTGTGTTCTTACCTCCTTGCTGCTGTGCTGTTCCTGATCCCTTCACATGTGTGTTTGTCTGTGCTCACCTATGGGCATCGTCTGCTGTCCTCTGGGTTTTATTTCTTTCCCTTCCATCACTTGCTGGCCCACCTCCTTGTTTGCCTGCCTATATAAGACATGCTCAGTCCAGGCCACTTTGCCTGAGCAACTTCCTAGTTGTCGGAGCTCCTGTGTGTTGCTGTTGCCTGTATCCTGCATTGACTACTTGTATGCCGACCCCGGCTTCATTCTCTGCCTGTGCTTGTTTCCGCCTTTCCTGACCTTGGCTAGTCTATCAGATTTCAGTTTGTCTCCTCCCATTGTACTCTGCTCCTGCGAGCGGTCTCCTCATCCTCATTTGGGCATACCTGTGGGCCGTGACCTGGACCCAGCTTGCTACAAGTCCATTCCCACCATCAGGGGCTCTGGTGAAGAAGCAGGCTGGGGCTTAGACTCCGTGCCTTGGGGAACTCCAAGTTGAGTATCTACAAGGGCTCACTACCACAGGTGCTGACATTCTCCAGCAACTCTACAATTGGATGGAGTGGTTACTGCTACTCCATCGTACTTAAACTGTCATGTAAGGCACCTTCACACTCTTAAACGGATCATTCATTTTGCGCTAATATATGCCTCTGGATGCTCATCTTTGGAATGTACGTTTGTGGTTTTGAGGTATTTTGGTGCAGGCAGGTACTGTGGTACTGAAAAGAAGGTCACAAGCTATTCTATGTGATTTACTTTATATCATACAAAATTCAAAAACAAAATATGTGGTTAGTCAATCAAATATGTGGTGTTTCAACAAAAGAAGTGAGACTCCTCTGTGTTCCACTCTGCACCACCATTACCACCAAAAACTTACCAGATAGGTGGAACCTAAGATATAGGATTTCAATATGCATCTGTGTGTGGTATTTTTCCCATAAAGGATACTATATTTAAATGTTTGTAGCCACCAGTGGCCAGTAGATCTCAATACTGTACCACCCACTCCTTCTCAAGTGTCTCTGAAATGTAAAATAAAGGAAAGTCTCCAATGGTACAGATTATGCCATTTTTTATTTTAAAACTGCCCCCTAAAGTAGAAAGAAAGCCACCACTAAATTCCACTACAGGCATCTTCATGACTCTTGAAGACATCCATCCATGTGTACAGAGAAGCTTTGAACACTGACATCATCACGTTATGGAGCAGAATTTCAGGGTGGCATTTTTTGTACTTTTAAT